CTCTGCCTACCAAGTGCTGGAATTACAAGCGTGCGCTACCACTGCCCTGCTTTCCTATGGCTTGCTAATAGCTCTGACCCCCGGGCAACTTTATTTATTAACATACAAATAATATTTTAATACAAATAAAATATCACCATATTTCCCCTTTTCTATTTTAATAAAAAGGAAAAAAAAGAAAAAGCTTATAACTAATATAAGAAAAACTATATACAAAAGTACAATAACTATATACAATATATACAAGTAATAAATACCTAAACAATGTCTAGTCCATTTGTATTTGACAAATTCAGAGAAAATAATTTCATTATCTATCCTATTTTGGTAAGTCCAAAATGTATCCTAATTAATCTTCAACTATAACTAACTAAACTTCAACTATAACTAACTAATCTTCAACTCCCTCAGAGACCCAAGAAGGAAATAATATTAGCTAACAAAAATAAAAACAGGAAGTGCACATAAGCAACTTCCAAAAAATTTGTGAGTTGACAGAAACAGACAGCTGTCTGGACAGTCACTTGAGGTTTCTCCGAAGTGCTGGGGCATCATCTTCAGCCTATAGGCTTAGCATATCTGACAGACTCATTTGTGAAGTAGGATGTACACAAGGTCAACAGTTCAACCTCACATTGAGTGAGAGTAGTCCATGTACCAGAAACACCTGAATTCCACTAGTGTCATGTCATGATTCAGGATTTTAAATTCTGGAAATTGTTGATGGTTTTTTAATTCAGCTGTCCATTCTTCTTGGCTGTGTATATATGGCTTCATCTCAGCATCCCATTCTTCTCCATATCCCTCCATCAAATGCCAGTCTACTATTGAGAGGCGTGAGCTTAGTTACTCTTCAAGAATAACTGTTTCAGCTGCTGTTCCATTGCACATCAGAGGCCATCGGCCCACTGCCTGTTCAGCTGCCTTCGAAGAAAAGGGCACTGTACCTTTTTCGAATTGCGAAGGCCACTTCAGGGATGGTGCCATATTGTCCTGGCCTCTGAAGATGCCTTTTGATAAAGCCATAACCACACTTGTTTTGGCAAGAATCAGTAATCCTTTGTTTTATGTCCTGTCTGTCCATTTTGTCCTGTTGATTCGAGGATACTTTGTTGTCCAGTGGCTAACTTTTGCCACAATGAAAGTTAACTCCATATGCAGTTTCTTCAATGCCCATATTTTCTCTGAAGTAGATTGGTACTGCCAGGAGCCGACATGTCTCATAGTCATAACAAAAAAGAAAAATTTTCTAAGTTATTAAAACATTTTAAATGCCATATTCTGTAGATCTCTGAAGGGTTTGAAGATAACCTGTCTATCTAAAATATATCTACTCAATCTTGAAAACATACCTAATATAACTACAAATTCTATTATAATATCTAACTACTAACTTTCATTTCTTTATATCCTAATAGTTGGTAATAACATTCAAGGATCAGAAAATTGCATTACATTGTTAGATGAACGGTACAATTAGAAAAATATATATAACATTTTCTAACAATATCAATTTCAATATATATAATTTGTATACAATATAAAACAATCCAATCCAATGTAAAGTATTTACATTTTTCTTTTCTTTCTTTTTTTTTTTTAATAAGAACCTTAAATCTAATCTCCTTTGCTTAGCCTTTTTCCTAACCCTTGACAACAACTTGTAACCAACCCCCCTAATCAATGAAAATTATCCCAGACCCAAAACCCATTAAAAGACCAAAAAAACCAACCGCCCCACATGTGTCAGGTGTTAATATGAAAGAAAATTAAATTAATGTTTACTAAGTGCTGACTCTATCAACAACCATTGTAATAAATAAACACTGAAATTACCTAAGCCCGTAAAAAGAAAAGGGAAAAGGTGTAAGAATTCAACTGAAAAGAAAATAGGCAAAACTGATTTTAAGTAAGGCCTGCCTGGTCTGGAGACTCAATCCTAAGACTGGGGACATAGTTCTCTCATTTTCCCTTTCCTTTTATTTGGGATGTTGCCAAGTTCTCAATAACTTTTTACTCTAGTCCAACATGACCTCTGCTTGCTCTTGCAACTTCCTCTCTCTCTAAAGGAAGAAGACAGTGTTGGCCAGCATTCTCCATAGCTCAGGTCCATCCTTAAACTCTGGACCTATGGATGAGTACCTACAGCTGTAAATGTGACAGGTTGCACACCAATATAAGTCAGATTAGAGCAAGAATTTGCCAAAGAAGTAACAGACCACTGACCCCCAATGTATGGACAGCCTATGTCAGTCAGTGAGATAAGAGGTAGAAGATTTTTGCTCCTTATAACTATCAAACATGTGATGGAAGATTCTAATTTTATTTATTATTTATACACAAACTGATTTATATTTTGCTTTAAAACAAGGTCTCTCCATGTAGCCCAGCTGCCTTGTAATTCACTCTGTAGTCTAGGCCAGGCTCATGCTCTACAATCTTTCCAACACTTGTTTTATATTTTTTTCATGATACCTATCTAAATTGATGCAAAACAGTTTCTCACTTTGAATTTTAATTGTATTCACTGAAAGTAAGTGACATTGAACATCTCTCCATGTGCTTGCTTGTTGGCATTTGTATCTCATCTTTGAAATATTCATTAAAATAGTTTTCACTTAAGAAATTTCACTCAAAATTGTCCAAACTGTAAGTGGCAGAAATTGCATACAAAATCCATGAGCTCAAAGCCTTGCTCTCTCTGCGGTTTCCACACATCCTCTCTAACAGCCAATGCCTGCATAGCTAAAGTTCATTCTCTTGGAGTCTGTGGTCTCAGTCCAAGAAGGGAAATAAGCATTTTATAAATCACAACAGCTGCTGCTCCCTCTATGAACAGCTCCCAAACAGCAAACTCTAGCATAGCTGCTCTAAAAATGATGAGCACTCTTCCAGGTACTGCCCCAATTTTGTACCTTTTGTCACAAAATAAAAGCTCTTCCAAGGTTGCTATTTATTTAGGTGACTTTTATTCCACATGAAATTTGTTTCCACAAATATGCTTTAATGTGATTTCCCTAAACACAGAAGAACATGTGGCAGGGAATGTTCTCTGTGCAATGAATCATTTGAATTCGGGCTTTCCATGGCTTCAGGTGGGCTTTCCACACAGAGAAAGAAATATAGGTGTGATCATTTTATACCTAAGAAAGCTGTTTGAAATCCTTAGTCATCAGGAAAATGCAAACCAAAATAACTCTGAGATACCATCTTACACCTGTCAGAATGGCTAAGATCAAAAACACTGAAGACAGCTTATACTAGAGAGGATGTGGAGCAAGGGGAACACTCCTCCACTGTTGGTGGGAGTGCAAACTTGTACAGCCACATTGGAAATCAGTATGGCAGTTTCTCACAAAATTGGGAATCAATCTACCTCAAGACCCAGCTATACCACTCTTTGGCATATACCTAAGGAATGCTCAATCATACCACAAGGATACATGCTCAGCTATGTTCATAGCAGCATTATTCATAATATCCAGAACCTGGAAACAACCTAAATGCCCCTCAACTGAAGAATGGATTAAGAAAATGTGGTACATATACACAATGGAGTACTACTCAGCAGAGAAAAACAATGACATCATGAGGTTCTCAGGCAAATGGAGGGAACTAGAAAATATCATCATGAGTGAGGTAATCCAGACTCAGAAGGACAAACATGGTATGTATTCACTCATAAGTGGATACTAGATGTAAAGCAAATGATAATCAGACAACAACCCACACCTTCAGAGACCCTAGCTAACAAGGAGGACCCTAAGAGGGATGCATGGATCACCCCAGGAAGGGGAAATAGATGAGATCCCAATGAATAAACTGGGGATGGGGGTGGGTCAATGGAGGGTAGGGGATGGGGGATGAGAACATAAGGAATGGAATGGTTGAGCTGGAACAAGACAGAGTGGGAGAGCAATGAATGAAATACTATGATAAAAGGAGACATCATGGGGATAGGGAGAACCCAGGTGCTAAGGAAGTTCCCAGGAATCCATAAGGATAACACCAGTTTAGACTACCAGCCATAGTGGAGAGGATGCCTAAACTGGCTTACTCCATTAATCAGATGGGTGAATACCCTAACTGTCATCATAGAGCCTTTCTCCAGTGACTGGTGGAAGCAGATGCAAAGATCCACAGCCAAGCACCAGGCCAAGCTCCAGGAGTCCAGTAGAAGAGAGAGAAGAGGGATTCTATGAGCAAGGGCATCAAGACCACGATGGGGAAACCTACAGGGACAACCAAACCAAACTAATGGGAACCCATGAACTTTAGACTAACACCTATGGAGCCTCCATAGGACTGGACTAGGCCCTCTACATAAGCAAGACAGTTGTGTAGCTTGATCTGCTTAAGGGCCCCCCTAGCGGTAGGATCAGGATCTATCCCTGGTGCATAAGCTGGCTTTTTGGAGCCCACTACCTATGGAGGGACAACTTGCACAGTCTTGATGCAGGGAGGGGGGCTTGGTCCTGCCTCAACTGAATATACCAGGCTCTGCTGACTCCACATGGGAGGCCTTACCTTGTAGGAGGAGGGAATAGGGGAGGGGTTGGGGGGAAGGGTGGAGGGCAGAAGGAGGGAAGAGAGGGGAATCTGTGGTTGGTAGGTAAAATGAATAAAAAATTTCTTAATAATTAAAAGAAAAACAAAAAAAGCAAAAAAGAAAGCTATTTGAAGCCAAGTTCTTTGTATCTTGTCAAGACAAATACCAGCTGATGCAATATATGTAAATAATGGACAGATTAGTTCTAAATCGTCTGTTGGGCACTGAGATCATCTTTTTATGTGGAAATAAACATATTTTTAAGTAAAGAGAGTGGGCTTCAGTCTGGCTGTGGAGATGTCACTTTAGAAGGAGATTTTGATCCTACTGGAGAAGAAAACCCTACTATGGTGCATCCCAGAAAGGCTTGCTCTGGCTTTAAGGGCCACAGAGAAGGCTCATTTCCAATCACCTAAGAGTCTGCAGACAACAGAGGCAGTCCCAACCGCTCCTCAGCAAGTGGCAAAAGGACTTCGCTTCAGCCATCTGGAAATGAACAGCTTTGGAGCATGATCTGATGTCTTCTACCCAATTCCCATGAGAAAAGTCACTGTTATTGGAGCCACAATGAAGAAGGTCACTGGAAGGGTAATTACAAATCTAGTCACAGAAGACAGAGTGGTGCAATGGAAATAAGGTAATAAAATAAGACAGCGTTTGATATGTTCATGACTACGTCTTAATGGTTGGAGCTATTTTTAAACCACGTTTCATTTTTCAGCTTACTGCTTAGCTGAAGTTACAGCTTTAAGAATTAAAGATGAACCCACTTTCCACGGGATCCTGCATGAAGAAGGATGTCTGCCGCCATTGTCTGGAGGATGAAAGCGTTCGAGTGAAGCATGAAGGAGGCAGGTGACAGCCCGCACAGCTAAGAGGAGACCAATCCAAAGAGACCTGCAGCAGCTGTGAATCCTCCGGAACCTCCCAGTCTCGGGACCACAGTTCTCACCTCTCAAGGCGGCTCAGCTCAGAACCTCCCAGTCTCGGGACCACAGTTCTCACCTCTCAAGGCGGCTCAGCTCAGAACCTCCCAGTCTCGGGACCACAGTTCTCACCTCTCAAGGCGGCTCAGCTCAGAACCTCCCAGTCCTGGGACCACAGTTCTCACCTCTCAAGGCGGCTCAGCAACATTGGAGTCGCCATTCCCTATCAGCGTGGTGCCTGTGGAGAGGCAGCTTCAACCGTGTGGCTAAAAGGCTGTCCTAACCAGGAGGCATCCATGTAGATACAGGATTATGCAGCTATCGCCCCTTTCCGGTATGTCTAAATATCTGTGATCGAAGATTATAAACGTAGCAAGCATAAATAAATAAAATGTTTAAATTGGTGGACACTGCTTTTTTTCCATTAATAATTCAAAAGTCCTCAATGCAAAAAATGTTAAAATAAAAGTGTACCTAGACCATGAAATCACCACAGGAATCTGTGAGAGTCAATATTAAAAGTCCCTGGCGAAAGCACTTGGCATACATGAATTGCTGCCATTACCCAAAACGCTAGAATTGTTCTCAGAACTATTAATGAGTCACTCACAAAGTCAGACTCAGAACCTCAATTAACCCAGTCTTAATCAATCACGTTATTCATCAAGCTTGGCTCCAAATGCCTGTTTTCCTAAATTGAGTACTTGCTTGATGTATGAAGATTTTTTTTTTATTACTGACTCATTGTGGATATATTTGTGAATGCTTCTGGCAAATTCCAGAAGAATAGCTCAGAAATAATAGCCATTAAAGGGAGCACCTTTGGGAGAATAAACATTTATTTCCTTCAGTGGGATTACTTTGAAAGTTACCTCATCTTTGGGATTTACATTTTCCAAAGAATATAAATAGTACCAAGGACTTCCTTCGTGGTATCAGAGATTTGCTAGGAATACGTTGGCTTTAGCACTGAGTAAGCCCACTCCATCTTAAACACACGAATAATAAAAAAACAGCAAGAATCCTATCAAGGAAAACATATTTGCCATTTCTCAAATATAATTTGGATACCACAATATCATTAATTTCAGAATACACATATACTAACAACAATACTAATGAGCATTTTTTCATGGTAGTCAACTGATTTAGCTGGATACCAGTTCAAAGCAATGTATGTGTATTAACTTCTATCATTCAAACAGCAATGCATTGTTTTTCTATAATTAGTATCCCTGAGTTGCACGTGGGGAAGGAATAATGTCTTATAATTTAACAGAGAAAAATCACTTTTCAGTGGTGGTCAGCTATTCAAATGTGAATAGAAAGTCTCCAGAACCTTTTAAATATTTTAAATAATTTACAATGCATCATTCATGTGGTCAGAAATAGAGATAGGTAGATTTATTTCTGTATTTGTGTGTGTGTGTTGCATGTTTTTGTGTTTGTGCGCATGTGTGTGCACATGATTGTGGAAGACAGAGGTGGACACTGGCTGTATTCCTCAGTTGCTGGCAACCTTATTTCTTGAGACAGCATCTCTCACTGAACCTGGAACTCATCCAGCCCAGGGCTCCCCCTGTCTCTGTCTCCCCAGCACTGGAACTGCAAGCGCATACCACTACCCTGGTCCACACCATGGGTGGGTGCTGAGGCTCTTAACTCAGGTTCTCCTGCTCACATGGTGAGCACTTTACAAACTGAGCAGTAGATCCTGCCCCTTGATCTTAAGTCTTTGTCATTGCTCTAGTCTTCTTGATGACTTTGACCTTCATAAATAGGTACTTTTGGACTTCATTTTTTGGGATATAAGTCAATGATTATATGAGTTATTAATTTAAAAGAAAAGCCCACTATGTTAAAATTTCTTTACGTTTTATGTTATACATCTCATTTGCCTGACTTTTTCTAATTGTAGTTTATTTGATGAAACCTCTGAGCACGGCAACTTTTTCTGGCTTTTGCAAGTGTTGGTAGTCTAGAGGAGTGCTATTTAGGATTATAAAGCAAAGTAGGTCACAGTTCTAAAATATTTTTTTGTGTCTTCTGCCAGAAAACCTAACTAGATTTCCTTGCTCTGAATTCTACATCTCTGGAAGCAAAGCAGTCCAGAAAGTGTGGCCGACACATGAGTCTGATGTCTCAAACCCTCTAGTTCCAGTTTAGAGTCTGACGCTATCTACTGTACCTGAATAAATCACTTGCTTCAACTTTCTCTCTTAATATGAGCCCAATGTGACCTCCTCCAAGTGTTACTGTGAGAAGAAAATTAGATCTGTGCTTATTGACAGCATCATGTTCCTTTATTGAAATTAATAGTTTTCTATGTTCCGTGGTCAGGGGTAAGGTAGGAGGGGAGTGTTTTTGCTTCATGTTCCTGTAAGAAACTAGACTGAGGATGATTGACCAAGGAAAATAGAATTTTCTTCTTGTTATTCTGCTTGTGCTGTTTTTCCAGATGCCTTTGTAGTCTAGAGTCTCTCCCCTGACATGAATTTAATGCACATGTAAGTGCTTCTCCCATATCAATAACAGAAACATTAAACACAACCAGATGTAATGTTCCTCGAATGTCCTGGCAGCCACAGTACATAGCTCCCTTGCTCCCTCTCCTGGCCCCTAACCCAGGATAATTCCTGACAAAATTGTACTTGTGAGGATCAAAAATTAAAGGTTGTTCTGTGGTTCTAGATTGGAAAGACTGAGGAAAGAATTATTCAAAGAAATGCTGAAATCGGCCTCAGGAGATTAGGGTTTGGAAGCGTTGCAATTCACTGCTGTTTCACGGAGCCGTGGGACATCGTGTTTAACATGAAGTGTTTTAGAACCACTGCCATCATAGCAAAGTGAACAGAAAATTCTGACTGCAACTAAGGCCTTAAAACCACAATGATTAGCAGCATGCTGTATTTCAGATTCACGGTGGAGCTATATATTATTCCCAATCAATAAATAAAGCCATTTGTCTGTATATAATTAAGTTCATATTAGCTGAAAGATGTTTTGGGTTCAGGACATAAGGAAGAAAAAGAGATTGAGAGAATTTTTTCTCATTTTCAAAAGAAAAAAAGCCCATCAAGTACGAGCAACATTTCAAACCATTTCAACAATTTCTAACAGAGACAAGGGACAAACAGAAAATGTCCATTGTAACTGAAGTTGGCTTGGCTTCAAGGAGATAGACTATGTAGTACAGGTCTATCCTCCTGGGAGAACTGTCATATCCTTAGTTCTGCTGGGCATGCTTGCAAAATCATCACAGATGGGACTCTTGGTGCTTCCCTCAGGGTAACGAGGGGAGAGAACAGTCATGGGACCCTCACCTGAGTACCCAACGCCTCTGCCAACCAGTTGTGTGCAATTAATTCTACCTTTTGGGAAGGGGTCAGAGGATATAAATGGGGAAGAACATGGGAAGAGGGCTTCATCTACACAACCATGGTGATTCCTCACCCCTGCTGGGGGCAAACCTCCCCATGTGGCTGCTGTGAGACCATGTATAGTCCTGTCCCGAGCATCTTATCCATCCCTCTCTGAGTCAGTCTGGTAAACTCACTGGTTCTCCTTGGTGAACTTTGGTGAAATTCCACAGGTTTCAGTTTAGGAGTGGGGGTAGAAGTACTTTACTTTCCTATGGAAGGAACTTTAGCAACAGTGGATGATCTTCATTTACATATTTATATCACAGCATTACTGAGTTTAAATTCAGAACAGTGGTCAACATAAAAAGTAAGCTACGCCGGGCGGTGGTGGCGCACGCCTTTAATCCCAGCACTCGGGAGGCAGAGCCAGGCGGATCTCTGTGAGTTCAAGGCCAGCCTGGGCTACCAAGTGAGTTCCAGGAAAGGCACAAAGCTACACAGAGAAACCCTGTCTCAAAAAACAAAAAAAAAAGTAAGCTACAAGATTGTTAGCATTGTTATGACAGAGGTGGACTTTCATCCCAAATCCATAATTAATAACATATTAGATAAATTTAAAGGATCTATTTAACTTTTATCATAAGGAGTGATGCCTTTCATACAAATTATACTCAAAATGTTTTTGGAAAATCTGGTTCTTGCACATTTCCAATTATGAGATTCAAATATGAGTATTCACCAAGGCTCAGATTAATTCATCAATAGAGAATGCATGTAGGTCCCAGGGATCAAGTTCTGGTCTTTAGGCTTGGCAGCAAGCACCTTTATTCACTGAGCCATCTTTCTAGCCCTTGAAATATTTTGAAAGATAGCTTTTATTGAATTTATAGTGTTGGACAAATGGCTCCATGTGTTGAATGGAGAAACTTTTGAGAGTGGGTGACTGGGTATAGGCAAACAATGACTCATCTATTAGTACATTTCATAGCTTTTTGATGTATACTTTCTTGATAAATAGGAAATCTAAGATAATTTGCATGTATATTGATATCTGTATATGTGACAATAAATAATATATAAATACACATATTTAACCATGCATATATATTATACAAATTAATAAATATACACACATGTGAATGTAGGAATATGCTATGTAAAGTTATGGACATCACTTTATTTATTAATTGTATATGTATGAGTGTTTTTCCTGAATTATATATGTACAGCACATGTATGCCTGGTGACTTTGGATGTCAGAAGAGGGTATTAGATCCTCTGCAACTGGAGTTATAGATGGTTGTGAGCTGTCGCATGGGTGTGGGAACCAAACCCAGGTCCTCCAGAAGAGCAGCTAGTACTCTTAACCACTGAGCCATCTTTCCAGCCCCTGAAGGTAGCATTTGTAAAAATGTTTATTTTGGTTTTTAACAACAGGGAATCCATGAAAACCTGCCCTGAAGAGATCAGATCACATAGATCTATTAACCCCTCCCCATCCTCAAGCCCCCAAAAAGTTCATTTTGTTTTGGAAATACATACAATGCTTTAATTATATTACTTCATTTATTCTATTTATTAGAGTATCATTCTACTATTAAATATTCCATTATCCTAGAGTAACACATAATTTGATTCCACCCATATTATGTATTGCATTTTGTTCTAGCTACCAATATATACAGATACTTGTATTGCTTTAGGAAATTTAACTTCAGGGGTTATTTTATTTGCTGGGCAGACTAGTGTAATCTGCCAAGCCAGTTTTAGAATTAATAACACCTGGAATCTTCTGCCAACCACTTGAATAGCTAATGGCAATAGTATATAAGATAATTTCACTCACATTAAACTCACACAAAAATAACTGTACAATTCTTGGCAATAATTGATGCGTTCAAGGTATATACTTTTTAAAAAGGAAATTACTCCATGCATGGCCGCTTGCATAGTTACCCAAATAGAGCCATAT